TCAGCAGTGCCATTCATGTGTCCGTAGTCATTATTGTAAGAATCCGGATTTCGGTCATAGCCTGTCCGTTTCCGATGAAATCCTGACTCCGATCCGTAATTGTACAATAATATGCCTGGATCGATCTAATTGTTCTCGTATATCTCAAAATTATAGGCTTTTTTATTTATAAAAGCAGTATCAGTATTTAAATCTGAAGTATATGATAAATTTTGGCTCTTGGTCTGATATCATGACCTAGTACTGATACAGGGTCTGATACGAAAAATGCCATGTATCAATGCGTAATAATCTTAGGGTTTTAGCTAGGATTTTGTAGGCTGTAGTCACTTTTGCATAGGATGAAAATCAACTTTATTTTGGATAACAGCAAGTGACCAAGGATATATATTACTCATTTTGTTACTAGCTTCACATCTTTGAAGGACTTAGGTATGATACATGTAGGCAGTTATTGCATGATTTGACTGATGTGGTGCTTAGATATGAAGATTATGTTAAGGATTCAGAAATCTATGTCACAATTTCACTTCAGTTATTTTAAGGGGACATTCCTCATTGTTCCTGATCAACAAAAGTTGGGTTCCATTTTTTTTAAACCAGGAATCACAGATATAGCAAATATGACAAAAATACATTCATATGACGAAACTACGACAAACGAATTGCAAATTGTGATTGTTTGAGAAATATTGAAATTGAAATGCGAACTGTCCGGGGAGGAACAATTTTGTTCAATGACGAAACTACGATAAAAGAATTGCAAATTGTGGTCATTTGAGAAATATTGAAATTGAAATGCCGACTGACTGATTTTACTTGGAAAAATAATTATGATGGTCTATTATAAGGTTTATTTATAATTAACGGATTAGTGACCCATCTGATAAGCAGATTACCTGTAATCACAACTTATAACACCTGTTGTAAACGTTAATTAGCTGAGGGTTATAAACTTGTCAGAAACATGAAGACAGATAGAATTATAGTATTTTCATGCGAAAATATTTTTATGCTTTCCAAATTTAAGTAACGAAATAGATTTGAAATACTTTCGTTATTTTGAAAACCGTTTCGTACTGACGAAAATGACGAGCGCTAGCAAAATCACTGATAATCTATACTTATCATGCTTATCAATCGAATGATCTGAAAGAACTCAAAGAAAAATTTTAATACACCAAATCGTTTAACAACTGTTATAACAAAGTTTAACTAACTAATTCATTCAATTCATGTCATTTGTAATTGGAATGCATGGACAAAATTGAAAAAACACAACAAAAATCTCTATCATATATGTCATGTATGTATGCATTGATTCGATAATTTCCTGAACATTATAATCACCAGAAACTCATTTCATACGACTTTAAATAGCAAGTATTATCAGCAAAACAAGATCGACAAATAAGTCAATATTGCCAGAATAGTTGACTCTTTATTGTAGTTATTACCCTTTAATGACAATTTTTGGGGTTTTGTCTATTATCTTGAAGAGATTAAGATAACAACTTTAAATATCAAAAATGATCTGCAAGACTAGATCTACAAATAAGTATATCAGTTATATATTGCTGACAATTTTTACCGATTTTTAATGTTTTGCCTGTCATCTTAAAATACTATACTAGATAGATAGAAATTAAAATAGCAGAAATGGTCCAGTGTTCTCCCCAGGCCCTTAAAGGACCGCGGGCCCGCGATGTATAATTTTTTACCGTGGTGGTATCGTTCTTACCGCGATGTATAATTTTTCTCCGTGGTGCTAAAATTTTCAGTTAAAAAATCGTAAATCGGTAAAGTTTTAAACGACTTGTTAAATCTTTTCCGTGCGTTATAAAATTCCAGGTGAAATTTGACCAGTTCAAACCAGTTCAACACAGATTGTTTACACCACGTGATCGATTTACCTTATGAGGTTAACCTTGTTGATTGGATTTAATCGATGTAATTAACACTTGTATCATGATTCTTTTGTGTTTTAATTAACATAACTTTATGATCACAGATAACTATTTTATGGCTTCACTCTCCACCCAAGCACTGACCTGTGACAAGTTGGCAAATACTTTGTACACAAACAGTGTCTTGACCCGATAGGTACATTTTTTGTACATCATAATGGTGGCTCATTACGTATAATGGACAACTATACATTTCCCAATTCTTATATTATAGTATTATATGTCTCTGATTAAACCATGGCCAATATTATCTTTAATTATGACCGTTATTGCATGATAGTCGGGTTTCAAGCTGTAGTATCTGTCTGTACATATCACATGACCCAGTTAGTTCACGTAGAATATTCAAGTTTATTTACAGTTAATTGCAATCTATTATATTTTATAAATAAAATGCATGACTGTACCTTCAAACTGGATATCTATATCCATAATTAATGAATAACAGAAGTAATCTTCCAATTTTATCCATAAGCACATGTTAAATCTATTTATATCTACTTCCTGTCATTTAGGCGGGAAAATAGGGAGACTTAGTTGTTTACATTGAATATGGTTACTTATAGATATATAGACCAAAGATAAATTTATAGATTTAAGAATTCTTTTTAAATGGTTCATGACAAATAAAGATTTAGATTTTAGGGCAGTATTAAGTCTGTATCTATGTTTGATTATCACCAAAGACAAGAAAGGTTAATATTTACATGAAATCTATGGCAAAATGTTCTAAAATTTATGAAAAATTTCTTTTTATTAAAATCTAAGATAGAAACTGGTTCAAATAATAAAACAATATTTGCAATTGTTCTTGTTAATTTTATATCTTCTTATGACAGGAATCCTTTCACATACAACAACTTTTTTTCTAGAAACTAGAAAGTTTTTTAAATTGAACATTTTTGTTCTCGTTTGAATGATATTTTATTTTTATTGATTTTGGATTTTATAAAAGATTTAATTACTTTAAATTCAGATGAATATTTTATTATGAATCATAATTTATTTATTTAAAAAAAATATTAAAGTATACAAGCTGTTTTTTTTATTTACTTCTATTTTACCAATAATTTTCTGAATCAATGTCTACATAACACAGTACCACAGTGTTAAAACAAAACAAGAGACATAATAACTACAGTAACTAGAGCTAAGTGGTGCGACGCGACACAACTGATTGCATGAAATATTTTACCAAGAAGTCCACACGCGTTACCCTGGTGCTATCCAAAAATCCTGGGGAGAACACTGATGGTCTACAAGAGAAGATCTACAAACAAGTCAACAAATTATGGAAATTGTCAGTTTACTCTCAATAGATGTTATTGCCCTTTGATGATTGTTTTACCATTTATTTCATTTTTTGTGAAAATTTGGCTGATAAAGAAAAACTGAATGGCAAAAATAATCAACATAGACGAAATTGTAACTTTGACACATTCCCCATTTCCATTCTCAATTTTATTAGTCTATTCCTTACAGGAGTTATTGCCCTTAAATGTAAATTCTTACCCTTTTTCATTTTGGGAAAAAATTATAGAAGATAGTGAGATACTGTAAACAATAATAATGATTATGAAAATGAAGACAATCAACCAAAAAGAGATTTTAGTCATAAATGAATTATATTTATCTAGTTTTGCTAGTCTACAATGTTGGGTGCCCTCTACTAGTTCAATTACAAACATGGAGAAATCATGTTTTTCCCCTATTTCTTGCTTATCGTACTCCATAATCTGCACCCCTGCCTAGCAATTTTAATTTGGGAGTAAAATGCGGACAATCCAGGACTGAATTCAGTACATATAATGCTTTATGCTGATATGACAGAAGTTTTTTTACATTAAGTTTGACACCTTAGATAAGCTAGTATCATTGCCAATAACTCTTAGTGGGATTTTGAGATGGTAAGTAAGGTTTTGGACTCAACATTTTTGAAAATGGTGTTTTTAAAAAAATTGGTGAGTCCCATGAAAAAATTTACCAGTCAAGGATTACTGACAGTTGAAAATTAGAGATGACAATGTCATCAATATGAATGCGAAGGTTTACTTGGTCTCAAGTTGCTGTCTTTAACTAGTCCCTTGTCATGCTTGTTGGCAAAACATTTATATGTTGTTTTGATACAATGATGATCAACCATATTGTCAACTTGATTCATGGTTATATATATAATGATAAATGATAATTTCCAAACAAACACAAGTCATTGTTTTAGTGATCTAAGTAAATGAAATTCCATTTTAAGTAAAATGGCTTGACAAATGGGCCATAGAAGTGAAAATTTACTCAAGCCATGATAATAATACATGCCCATAACAAGGCAATTTTTATTTTTTTGTACACAAATTAATTGATCAATTCTAGTACTGCATTCATTGCAAATAATTTTATGTTAAAAAGTTAAACGATATTGTTTTCTTAACAGTTCATTTAAAAACTTCCTTAAATTTTCCAAAAAAGATTGTTAAACATGTTAAATGTTGAACCCATGGCTGCTATATTATAATTCCAATTAAAAGGTAGCATTTAAAAATGTGTGCAATTCTTGAATAATTCAACTTAAAAAAAAGAGTTATTTAATATTGAAATAATATAATTGTACAAAGTAAAATTTTATTTTTGGTTTTGAAAGAAAAAATACATGAAATAGGGCTGGTCTAATAATTGTAATATATCAGGAAAATAGATGTTCATTCAAATCTATATTTTTTTTTGTTTTATTCAAAAAGAAAATAATGAAAAAGATTTGATACAATCAGATCTTGCTAATTATCTGAAATCTTTTTTGAGAAATTCAAGTCCTTCATGACCTTGGTAATGTAAATCTTGTTGTTTCTTTTTTTTTGGCATTTCCATTTTCCAGGTTTCCCCATAAAAATGTGATTAAGTGTTAATGATACATAAGATGATTAGATGAAGGTCAAGATTACTTAATCAGAGGTAAACAACATGTTGTTTATTACATGTTTATATCACACACATGCTACATTCTGTTACCATAGCAACTGATTATTTTTGGCAAGTAAGAGGTCAAATTGGCATCCATTATCAGTCTCTGATCAGTTTTTCAGGTAGGATAAATTAGTTATTTTTGTGATACTTTACATGCTTAACAAAACAATGTAAAAATAAAAAATACTACAATGTGACCTGTTTTCATCTTAGACTATTGTTCTCTGTTATAGAAAATATGTAAATCATTGATATAATGTGTAATTAAGATTATTTGGGTGTGTTTGGAACTAAGAATAGATTATATTGGCTAGTGCAAAACACTAGACAGGAATCTGTAAGCACGTGCTAGTGAATATATGTCATGTATGTATGTTGATTTTACATAATTTTGACATGAAATTGTTTTTGATTTTTTTTTACTAAGAGAGTTATTTCAATTAACAATCGGATGGTTGGTGCCTGTCATTAAAATTAGAATGTGGTGGTTTAATAAATATGTGAAAATGAAATCTAATTGCTGACACACATTTGACATATATATTATTTAATAACAGCTCTGATTGTTCATGTTTTTTGATGATTTTTTACTGGACATCTCAACAAAAGTCAATGAAAGTCATACTAAATTCACTCCTCCCTGTATCATCCGTATTTATGATTGCAAGTATAAACCTCCTTGGATGCCTGCAAGATACATTGTCTTGATCACTGTTTTAAAAATATTAAATGTGTGCAAAAGACTTACCATGAGTAAAATAGCCTGTACAATGTCAAAGTCCAAATAGAAAAAAAACAATTGTTACGTATCCTTCTTGTATAAAATTACGTCTATAGAGTGCACTTTGTCAACATGCATTTACAGATGCATTTCTAACTGAAATAAAATAAAATCTGAAATTTACATAAGTAATTATAAGTAAAATAAATGCCTGAGATTATGTTAAGTAGCTTAATTTTGAAGTCTGTAGAACGAAGGGAAAATACCATGAAATTAAACAAAATTAATACTGTAGAATTGTTTGTTTTTGTGGGTAGCAATTTTTGTGGGATGATGAAAAATTGTATATTTGATGATATTTAATTTCATTGATTTGCCAAAAGTCTGCATATAAGCCTATAAAAAATTGATACAAAATTCCTTGCTCAATTAAATTTGTGGTTTACCTTTAAACAACTAATCGGTAAATTGGTATAACGAATAATAATGAATCCACAGTAATATATTTTACCCTTTCTCAATTATTTCCCCTTTGTTGCAGAATAGCAATATCAGGACAGATAATGAATAGACCTTAAAATAAGGCTAGAGGGTTGAGATCTCACAAAACATGTAAAACCCGGCCGCATTTTTGCGCCTGTCCCAAGTCAGGAACCTCTGCCTTTGTTAGTCTTGTATGTTTTTATGCCCCCACTGTAGCGGAGGGGGCATTAAGTTTTACCCTTGTCCGTCCGTACGTCCCAAAATTGGTTTCCCTTCTCTAACTTTAGTTTGCATCGACCAAATGTTATGAAACTTATCCACAATGCTTATTACCACAAAACACAGACCGAGTTTGAATTTTGGTGGCATCACTTTTACCGTTCGAGAGTTATGCCCCTTTACAAATGGAAAAATTGCTGAATTTTTCGTTTCTGTTCTCTAACTTTAGTTTGCCTCAACCAAATGTTATGAAACTTATCCACAATGTTTATTACCACAAAACACAGATCAAGTTTGATTTTTGGTGGCGTCACTTGTACCGTTCTAGAGTTATGCCCCTTTACAAATGAAAAAATTACTGTTTTTTTTGTTTCTGTTCTCTAACTTGAGTTTGCTTCAACCAAATGTTATGAAACTTATCCACGATGTTTATTACCACAAAACACAGATCAAGTTTGAATTTTGGTGGGTGTCACTATTTAATTTTCATTGTTCTAAAGTTATGCCCCTTTACAAATGTAAAAATTGCTGAAATATTAGTTTTTGTTCTCTAACTTTAGTTTGCCTTAACCAAATGTTATGAAACTTATGCACTATGCTAATTACCACAATACACAGATCATTTCGAATTTTGTTGGCATCACTTTTACCATTCTAGAGTAATGCCCCTTTACAAATCTCGAAATTGCTGAAATATTTGTTTCTGTTCTCTAATTTAAGTTTACATCAACTAAATGTTATGAAACTTATAAACAATGCTTATTACCACAAAACTCAGATCAAGATCAAGTTTGGGTAGCGTCACTTTTACAGTTCTTGAGTTATGGCCCTTTATAACGTTTTACATGTTATATGCAAGCGGGGGCATCATCTGTGTCCCATGTACACATTCCCCATTTATTTTAATTTGTTTCAGTTTAGTATGACGTTCATTTTCTCTGAACTAGTACACTGAAGCCTGCCTCCGGGGGTGCGAGATTTTCTCACTGTGTTGAAGACCCATTGGTGGCCTTGGGCTGTTTTTTGCTCTTTGGTAGGGTTGTTGTCTCTTAGACACATTCCCCGTTTCCATTTGCAATTTTATATAATCACTTTATCAATTTCATGCGTCCAAAGCACTTTTCTGAATTTACCGCTTCAAAATGCTTTGAGCGGTCATGACTGTATTATTATGGTCCATAATTTGTGGGAAAATAAAGAACAATTATTTTAATCATGTTAATGTTGAGGTGCTTGTTCATCATTGGTTGACTGTATTTTTATCTTTAAGTAAATAGAGATATTTTATTAACTTGTGTTGTTATTGCTTTCTCATTGAAATTTACCTCACTTATTGCTTCTAGGGCCTGGGCGGCTGAGTTGTTTAAGTATTTCATTAAATGTACAATAGCCTGTCAACTCTGTGGTTTTGAGTTCCAACCCACACCTGCCAAGCACTGTTAATTGACAAGGATTGCCAGTTTTCCTGCCGAAGGTCAGTTGTTCTCTTCAGGCACTCTGGCTTCCTCCACCAATAAAAACTGGTCTCCATGATACAGCCAATAGAAACCTTTTGTTCAGTAGTTGTTGTTTGTTGATGTGGTTCATACGTGTTTCTCTTGTATCTTTTTTATATAGATTAGATCGTTGGTTTTCCTGTTTGAATGGTTTTACACTAGTCATTTTTGGGGCCCTTTATAGCTTGCTGTTCAGTGTGAGCCAAGGCTCCGTGTTGAAGGCAGTACTTTGACCTATAATGGTTTACTTTTACAAATTGTGACTTGGATGGAAAGTTGTCTCATTGGCACTCATGCCACATCTTATATCTTAAATTAATAGTGCTAAAAGTGCTGTTAAACACCAAAAATTGATCAATTACTACTAGTTCCATATATAGACATGACTATTGGAACTAATAGGATTAAATGAATGGCAGTAATCCCATTTGTTTGAACTACTGAATGACCTTAAGAAAGTACTCTGTCATGCCATTGCACCTGTTGTTTTATGTTCAATCGTTTATATAAGATAAAGGGTGGAGTCCCCTATAAAGCAATATTGAAGAATGTGAAATAAAAAAGTGAATTAACAATGAAGGTACTATAGTTTTGTATCATGAATTTACATATCCTTTGTTTACCTTTATTTGCCATTTGAAAATTACTTTTAGACTTACAGTTCATGCAGTTACATGACTTAACAGTGCTTTTTTTAAAAATATTAATTAAACAAGGCAAATATTGACTTTTCAATACATAAAAAGATAACCCTTTGAAACCTCCATTACATGTACACTGTATAACACCTTATTGTTTTAAGATTTAAAATCTCAAATCTTAATAATCTCTGGTCACACTCTATGATGATGAAGATTTCACCAGTTTAAATGCCTAGTTTGTTTACATGGCCTTTTAGTCAACAAATAAACTAGTGTTGACGTTTACAATTGTAGGGAAAAGCTATAATCACCTGCTGTTTATTTATTACTTACCTTGGGTATATACTTATATATTGTATACTGGTATATATATGTTATATATGCATTGGGGGATTATAAGATGGACAGGTAAATTATTTACATACAGGTTTAAATTGAATATTTAATGAAAAAAAATGCTCTTGATATTTATCAAAAATTGTATTTTAAGAATATATACATTGAAAGTTTGTCTTAGCGCCGATAAGTTAAGTAATCTTAATTAAACATGTGAATTAAGACACGTCTTTAAATCCAACATGCTAAATTATCTGTATTTGCTAGTTCAGCCTTTAAAAAAAAGGAGTATTGAGGCAGGTCTTTAACCCCTAAATTGGGTTTAGATTTAATTGATCTGAACTTCTTATGATCATATAAAAATTGGAATCTTTTGAATTAAGAAAGGAAAATTTAGGGGTGGTAATTACTGTACCCCTGTAATATTTGCACTACTTTTGCTGATTATTTACTATGGATTTATTTTTATTCTTTGGTACCAGTTTTTTGTGAATTCAAGAATACTTGTAGTTGTATTTTATTGGACACTTGATTTCTTGGTTTTTATAGATTATCGAAAGTTTGCATTTAGGTTGAACACTTAAAATTCATGTTCACTAAGACCCTAAAAATCCATAAAAATTAGTTCCATGCATTTTAGCAGCACATAATTATGAATCCACAGCATATGTCAAAGATACTGGGTATAAAAGTCCATGTTCCAATAGACCACTTTTGAGTTCATTACATTTCCGTCGAAAACTTTGGTTTTATTGAACATCATTCGTGCGTTTAGGGGCATAGTCACTTCCTTCCCATGTTGAGCGAGCGTTTGAAAAAATATGATGCTATATTGCACGAATTATTCAGCAAATTAAATTCTTATAATTGATAATCAGCACTGCTGTCATTAGGGAATCGTGATTATGTACCTACAAAACAACAATTATTTCTAGTTGATCCTGTATAATGACGATCACGAAGACACTTGATGAACTTCAATAGTGCAGGGATACAGACGTTTCCCTCTATCATGTCTATCAGGCATGCATAATTGACAAACTTTTCTGGTGAAGGACATAACTCGAAAGTGGTCTATTTTTACAAAATACTGCTTTAGTCATGCTAGTCTATATTATACATTATATACACCAACAGACTTCATTATAGTTTCCTTTTTTTCAGGTAAAGAATAAGGAGTATTGAATTGGTAAAAAACAGTACAATATTTTTAAAAGGCATTTTGTGGAACTAAAGAACACATTAACATCAAATTAATATGTAAGTAAATATAGAACAATGTTTTTATCTTCACAATTTTATTTATTCACCAAATTTTTCACCATTACTAATGAAAAAAAAGTTGTAAAAATATTACTACTGAATTTAGTATAGAGACATCATACAAGTTTAGAAGCTGAGGTCAAAGAATACTTAATTATCATTGACATTGGTTGTCTGCAATTGTCAGGGATTAAACACTCAACCTCCATTACTCTTAAGTAAATTCTGTACTTTAATACCATTAATGTCGTTCAAAGTTACACAAAAGACATAAATTATATGCTAGGTTATCTACATGTATGGTGCATGTGTATTATAATTCAAACCAGTGATACTTACTGGACCCTTGACAAATTGTAAAAAATTTCCAGGTCTAGTGTCTTTTATACATTTACAGTTATTGAAAGATCTATAGATTCAATGCAAATGACCTGAAAATATATATAAGTACATGTACATGTATGAACAAAAGGAGATGTGAGTTACTATGGTTACAGGGACTAACTATGCATCAATGAGACAGCAAACAAACAACACAAAAAAAACCAAATTACAGCTAGAGGTTATCGCCGTTTTTTATTTCACGTTCAACGTGTTTTTACTTTTTTATTTAACGTTCAGTCGTGCAAGACAGGTGCCTCGTTCAACGTGTTCTGCTTATTTAATTTTACGTGCATCGTGATTTTCAAATGCTTATTTTGCGTGCTCGGTATTTATCAAATAAAATTCAAATACTTGGCAGGGATCGTCAAGAAATACTTTTTTAAAAGCCGTAAACCATTTACATCATAAATGTGTATACTAAATCGGGAATAACAAGTAAAACAGAGAGTTTCTATATACAAGAAGACAGTGACTCAGTCACAAAAGGTTCACAACAGTCTTTATTTTTCGTGCAATGTTCATGACAGAAATTATTTCACGTTCAACGTGAAATTATGTCTTATTTCACGTTTTTTCCGTGCAAGCACCCCCCCTTTACCACCCTCATTGATCAGTCTTCAAAAACGGTCAAAGGTCCTATGTAAGTTTAAGTGCCAATCTTTTTAAGAATCAGGCAATTTAGAAGAATTTCAAAACATGGCCGAAAAAAACCCACTGACCTAAGCATCCTATTTTGAAGTTACCCTGATCCTGAGTTAGAAATGGTAGGTCTTTCATTTCTGCGTGTCTGGTAATTGGAGAAATATCTAGATAACTTTTGGTTAGAATGATAGCAAATTGCGGAGTTGTCTCCCCATAATTGTTAATTTCTAGTGCATTTCAACCAAATTATTTCTTGAAATACCAGAACAGGAAAAGGAAACGAATGTTATATAGCGCACCATTATACATTCTGAACTTAAATTTATATGAAGTTGAGATGGTTTTAGGTAACAAGTCATGTTTATGATGTTTTCACAAATGCCTGATTCTTAGGCAGATTGGCACTTCAAAGTGAGAGAATCTATTTCCCAGTAAGGATTTTGTGAGTTTTACAGGAGCTGACTATATATCTAGTTAAGTTTTATGCAAAGTGGGAAAACAATTTTTACGTGTCCTGATCATGAATGTGTAGAGTTTTAATCTCATGACCCATATGTTTGTATATTTATTCTCATGCCACATATATTTGTATATTTATTCTCATGACCCATATCTTTGTATATTTATTCTCATGCCACACATATTTGTATATTTATTCTCATGCCACACATATTTGTATATTTATTCTTATGCCACATATATCTGTATATTTATAGATAGTCAGGATGTCAGAGCAACCAGAGTTATCAGAGTTCCCTAATTTGAAGGGTGTGGTACCAGACATAAGCTTAGATGATCTTGATGACCTCCTTGGGAAGCTTACTGCTGAAGAATTAGAGGAATTAAATGGAGATTTTGACCCTGATGTAAGTTTTTATAAATGTTTTTTTTAGGAAGATCGATTTGGACTTACAAATCTTCAATTAACTCAATGCTAAATTTTGCAAAGATTTACAAAAAATATTGGCACAAATTTCTCAGAGGAATTACCGTATATATTTCGGGGGGGGAGGAGGAGGGGACAATAAGAGGCAACATAAGTAGATGGAAGACAAACAACATCATGAACTCCATGTCCTAAGAAAAAAGATGGATTGATAAACAACAAGCCAATAAATACAATGCATAAAACTAAAGATTTATCAACATGTCATCTTTATCTTTAGAATTACAGAGGTTGTAAAAGAAATGACTTGTATAAAAAAAAACTCATCAAAAATACCAAGCGTATAGTTTTAATGTACGCCAGACACAAGTTACATCTACAATAGACCCATCAGTGACGCTCAAATCAACAAATTAAAAGTCCAAATGAAGAATGAAATTGAAGAGCATAAGTTAATTTTTTTGAAGAATAAGGGGAGATAATTCAAACCTTGAAAACAAATTTTATCTGACAAAGTTGCTTATACAAGCAAAAGTTATTTACATCTGCAAGTTTATAGAATTACTTGTTGAAGTATTACCACTGACTGACACAAACAATTAAATACATTTTTCATTTGTGTGTATTAATTATTATTGCACATGTATATTCAATTGATTAGCATTCTCTTATATATTATTTTAGAGCCCTCACCTTATTTTAGAGGTAAAAATGTATATATAAAAATATTATGCTATCTGTTTCAATGTACTTTCAACCTTTTACATTTTAGTGCCAAATAAAGTACAATTTTGAAGTTTCATGAAAACTACAAAAAGTATTTTCAAATCTTGGCCTTTGATGTTGCATATCTTGTAAATTCAAAACTTTGTATGACATGTGCATTTATTGCTGTGATTTTTAAACGATGCAATAAAAACGAGAGATAAATTATTGGTATTTGAGAAAAAGCTGCATGCAGTTGATGCTATCCAAATTTTAAATGCAAGATTTTATTTTTGTGTAATATATCCTCTTAAAATATTTGCATTAACAAAAATAGCTGAAAAATTGTTCTTAATTTACAGTGTTCATGTACATTGAAGGTTGAAATGTACATTAAATCATAGCATAAACAATGTGCCATTTCAGAATCTATTATTACCATTTTGGGTATTTTCAATTTATTCTTACACCTTAATCATGTAAATGAAAACATGTTGCAATGTTGACTGGTTTTCAATTGTATATGGTTAGGACTTTTAAAACCAATCACAATATTTTAAAATATACATTTTCAGAAAAATAAATATAGGATTCCTTAGATTTTGAAATGGTGAAAAAAAAACATATGTACTAATGTAATGTAACATTATGTAATATAAAATGTAATTATATCAATATATTAAAAAATGTATATAAATTAACCTATGTATGTCTAATGAAATATTCTGAATATACTTTTATTAGGGTATTCCAATTTCCATTATGAATGGTTTAAGTATTATTGGTTTATCTATTTTAAGATTTGTAATGTCAGCATCTGCACATGTATAAGAAATCAATAAAAAGTCACATTTTTGATTGAACATGAAATTCACAAAAATTGTTTGATCATAAACATGTGTATTATGACGTCAAAGTATTATGTATTCAGATTACTAATGTCAGCCACCACAGCTCCTAGTTATACCTTTGTACATGTTGTAGTAGCTCAGTAAAAAACAAAAATGGTCTTAATTTGTTGAAGAAGCTTAATGTTCTTATCAGGACCCTATTTATTTAGTTTTAGGGATGAAACAATATCATGAATTACATGTATATGCATAATTTGTATTCAAAATTATTGTGATTATTGAATAGAATTTGAGAGAAAAAAACTATGAACATGATAAATTAGGAATGACACTTCCAGGGCTTACGCTAGCAGGCAACTGGGGCGAAGAAGTCGCTTTCCTGTCCGTCACTGCTCATTTCCCGACCATCAAAAGAGATATCTAGTCGCCTGGGTGTTCACAATAGTCGCTTTCAGTCACTTTCATAATAAGCAATTTTCTATTTTTACCAAGTCCATGAATAGCAATTTTTCATTTATAAGTAAAGAAATTCATAGACATAGACTTCTCTCTATAAGTTTCAAAAAGAGAAGTCAACTTCTCCCTATGATTCTCAAGTAGTGTGAGCCCTGACTTCTTCATAATCATAGAGAGAAGTGACTTCTTTTTTTGATACTGATATGAATAAGTGTTGAGCCTTAAAAGAGAAGTGTTTGTTTGCTAATTGCACTATAATATTGAATTTTAACAATGATATCTTCAATGGTTGTTAATAGATTTGAATATCTACAACTACTTGAATGTGATTGGTCAGTTAGAATTTCGAATATTTCTTGCTATAAAATAGTGATTGTATTTCATTTCAGAATTCACTGTTACCCCCATCTGAAAGAATGAAGAACCAGACAGACAAAACTGCTACCGGTCCCTTCAGCAGGCAGAAATTACTCAAGTGGCTCGAGGAAAAGGCTAAAAATGAAAAGGACTGGGAACTGATTAAACCATATGTTGGAGAAAAAAAGGGTAGGAAGGAAATTAAAGGCCAACTTTACAAAATTGGTCCAAAACACAGAAAATTATATCTGAGGATCCAGTATTAAGGGGTACAAAACACCTAAGGGAGTTAACTCCCTAAAAATCAACTGAATGCTTTAATCAGATACTGTTAGTATAGAGAAATCAAGCTTCTCAATGATCAAAATTAGTGTTTGTCAAACTGCTATATATCCATTGAAATTATTCCTGTAAATAGACTATTTTCATATTACCGACTTTTGACTCCGGATTATATAATTTGTCGACTGGTTACCTTGGACATCATGGTACTCGGTCAAGTAAGAGCAACCAAAATGAATAAAATCAAACATATAATCGGTGTAATTTGAGGGGAAAGTTAACTGTTTTCCGATGATTTTGTAGTGAAAAAAAAATATTAACCAGGTAATTTTCCCCAAAAATTGTACCGATTGAAAGCTTGGTTTTACTTCTTTAGCTCGCTCTTACCTGACTTGGTACCATGATGTCCAAGGTAACCAGTCGACAAATTATATAATCCGGAGTCAAAAGTCTGTAATATGAAAATAGTCTATTGTGTGGTTCAAATTTCTTGAAATCTTTATATTTTTGTCAACAGGTCAAAGTAAATATTTTGTCAAAATTAATGAAAATTAAACGAGCCATATCTATTTTATTCAAAGTGTTGGGTACCCCTTAATTCATTAATTGCACTTAAAAAAATGTATGCAGCAATTCACAATATTGCTATATAAATACAGGTGTACAAATAAACAGAAGAAATATGCTATTGTCCATGTATAAAGTCTCCTGGTATCCTACTTCTGTTGCAATGTCTCCTGGTATCCTGCTTCTGTTGCAACGTCTCCTGGTATCCGGCTTCTGTTGCAATGGAATGGTTACATTCAAGTTTATCGTTTCCATTACAGTTCATTTTGGTATCCTCTTTGCAATCCAAGTCTATGCAATGTCCAATTTTTTACTGAAAAAATACTCTGAATAATGGAGGAATCTATGCTCATACATATGTATATACATATTACTTTTAATCACAACAAACAAATAAACATGATAAATAAATACACATTTTGTGAACAAATGCGATACCAAAAATTCCATTTACTCTTGAATTAAACTCTGTTATTATATAACTACATAGTTTTAAGTAGCATTGTTCCTATCTCTCAGGAAAAGAATACAAAGGTAAAGTGGTACCGGAAGGTATAGTATGGTCTGATCCTTAAAGATCCAGTCCGATCCACAAAGATCTGGTCCCATCCACAAAGATCCAGTCCGATTTTCCATTTTATGTGGATTCATTGTATTTTTGGGTATACCTGCAATTTTTATAGATTTGCGGGGGAAACTAAAATTTAAAGATCATCAACAGATTCTAAATTCTTCATGGCTTTTTGAAACAAAAATGAAAAGCTTTAGAATATTCTGAACCAAATTTTACCATGATAATAGAATGGATCCACAATGTATACATTCCTGATCTGACCAAGAGGAAAATTTAATTTTAAGGTGCTTGCCTTGATGTTAGCTTTCAATTTTGTATTATCAGTGAAAGTGAACAGTGAAATAGTGAATATCAGAATGGCAGTGATTTTTGTCTCGCCTTGATGTAGTCAAAATGCGTGACTTAGGTGTGCTGTTTCCGAGGGAGGCAGCAGTGTCAACAATGTAAATGTTTGTGATTAGGTCAGTTTATGGGGAACCACTATTGGTAGGTCAATGATAGTTGGTGTGCAGTGGTATTAGCATTGGCACATTTCATTTCCATGGAGATTATTTGGTACAATCCCCTCAGTCATTGCCTATTGACTTTGAAACTTTTACTTACTTAACATGTATTAGTTTGTGATTAGGTCAGTTTTAGGCAAACCACTAGTGGTAGGTCAATGATATTTTGATGCACTTGTATTAACATTGGCAGAATTCATTTCCATGGAGATTTTTTGGCCCAGTCCCCTCAGTTATGGTCTGTTGACTTTGAAACTTTTGCATATTTAATATACATATTAGTTTGTGATTAAATCAGTTTAAGAGGAACCACTAGAAGAAGGTCAATGATATTTGGTATGCAGATGCATAAGAGTTGGCACATCTCATTTCCAAGGAGATTATTTGGCTCCACACCTCTGTCATATCTATTGGTTTTGAAAGTTTTGCATAGTTTACATGTTAAAGTTTGTGATTAGATCAGTTCAAGAGGAACCACTAATGTTAAGTCAATGATGGTATTAGTATTTGCAAGTCTTCATTTCCATGGAGATTATTTGGCCCCACCCCTATCATGGTTATTGACTTTGAAAATTTAACATTGTTTACAAGTTAAAGTTTAGGTTAGTGTAAAGTGGATCACTTATGCATGTTATGATAAGTCAATGGTACTGTATTTGGTATGCAGTTTTATAAGCAGTGGGTTTCTCATTTCCATGGAGGTTATTTGTTTCTGCACCTTAAGTCATTGTTCATTGACTTTAAATGTTTTGCATAGTTGACATATTTAAATATTGCTATTTGGATTCAATATTTGCATTATACTATCAAATTTACAAAAAGGTGAGAAATATCTCTGTGTCTACAGTTTATTTCATTAATCGTTGCAGAATGGCAATAACTGTTCTATGGTCTTCCACTGAATGGCAGATAGAGGTCTTTCAGCTAAAACCGTTTATCATACAGGGTATTGGATGTCATAGGAAGTCCAAACAAAATGACTTGCGTAATCTTTTCATTTTTTTTTTGCTATCACAATGTATGCATGGTATACCGGTAATTTCTGTTAACCAACTTTAATATTTTTGCAAATACTTATTCATGTTTTATAGTTCTTTCTATCAAACTTTACAGCAATTCATTTTCACGATTTTCTGATTTGATATATTCATATCAAGGAAAATCCAAGTTTACATGTTTGTGACCATTTATATTTGCATTATTTTTTCTTCTCACCAAAGCCACGAAAATAAGTTGCTCATGAAATTTAGTTGGTTTACAGTATAAGGATGTTTTTTCCACATTTTTCATGCATATCAATATAAAAGAATACTTTTCCAAGCATGGCTTCCAATATTTCCAAAATAAAATAAATTTTATTTTTTAACTTGAGATATGTAATAAAAGCATTGTATTATCATGATTATTATAACTTATGGAAAAATGTTAAAACAGTGTGACCCAGCTAAAAAAAAAAAAAAAGAAAGTTGAATGGCGGCTTATTAGATTTTTCATTTTTAATAAGATTTTCAGAGAAGATAAGTGTTTTTTCATCAAGCACAGAAACTGAAAGATTGAAAATATCTATTAAACCATGAAATTGGTCTTTCAAATAGAGTGTAAGATTTTGCCTGTAAATGTAAATGGATACTTATAGTAAACACATAATTCTGATAATTGAATCTACTATTCTAACAGGAAAAGCATTTAAACCTAAGCAAGAACCAAAGAAAAAGATGACAGAAGATGAAGCTAAAGAAGACACAGAATGGGATGACCTGTTAAAGGAAGCTTCTGAAGAGGAATTGGTAGATTTGGCAGGTAAAACTTGTGTGTTGATTGGTTAGGGATACATGGAACAGAACGTTATTTTATGTACTTGCCAAAGATAAAAGAGGCGAAAGATACCAAAGGGAAGTCAAAAATAAACTGAAAAAGAAAAAGACCAACAGACAAACAGACAAACAACAGTACACAAAACACAACATAGAAAACTAAAGACTGAGCAACATGAACCCCACCAAAAACTGGGGTAATCTCAGGTGCTTCGGAAGGGTAAGCAGATCCTGCTCCACATGTGGCACCCGTCGTGTTGCTTATGTTAGTACAAACCTGGTAATAAGTCTAATTTGTTAGGTCACATTCGGGGGGAAAGGGGACGGGATTGTAGTTATGAAATTAGGAACATATCCGTTATCACCTGTGAAACGGATATTCCATAACGGTCAACCAACATGCTACCACAAAACTACCATTGGAAGTGAAGGGATTAGTACAGAGGAAAACTGTCTTTAAAATGAGTCTTATTTTATTATCATTACACTTGCCTACTGAAAAGTGGAAAATTTCATGACGAGTGAATTTTTGCTAATGTTAAGATGAAATCCTGATAAATTTCATCTGTATCAGTTTAATCTTTTAGAAAGATCAGAATTGTTGACAGAAAAACATGAAAATATACTCTTACAAACTTGATTTGCCATACAATTCACAAAATCTAATTTAATGTGTGTGTCAAGATGTTTATGATTGTCATTTATAGCCTGATAGCTTCACTGGATTTTCATAGTTTTTTTAACATATATTTAATATTGCTGTTTTTAGCTGTCCTGGGTTTTCACAGTATGTTAACACAACAACAGTATTATGCTTCATTAGAAACAGAAGAAATCTCAGGACAGTTCGGTGGATTTAAAGGTAGGATGTAGTCACATGACCTGTTGAAAACTTTTTAATTGAAGTTCATCACAAGAATTAAAAAAATATTTTTTAATGACCTAATCGCAGTAACTTGGGAAATGATTTTTTAAATGTAAGATAACTCTACTACGCAAACAGTTATATTTTCATAACAACCAGAAGAGTTTCCATTAAAGTCCCTCAAATTTCCAATCTTATTGTCTAAAATGGAATTAGATATTTTTCAATGGACAAATGAAGAGTTTCATTAGGCTGAAATGTTTGCTTGAATATTCACTTTGATAAAAAAATTCCTGTAGGAAAAAGTCATTCTCTTTCATTTCAATGTGGCTAAGGTGACAATGGTGTAGAGTTGAAGGGAGACTTAGGAACTGATGAAGGCCTAATGGACATGATGGAGGAAATGTCTTACACTTGGTTAAGAAAGATAAAAAAAAAATGGATATTTTCCATTGAAGAGACAGACTTTTCCAATTATAGAAATTGCATAAAATGAAATTACTTTGAAAACCTACCAAAATTAGATGGTATGTCATTAGAGAAATTTAGATAATGGTTAAGTGGATGGAAGACATCTGAAGTTCATGTGTAAATGTACTGGTAAGCTTTTGTTATTTTCAAGCTGTTTCTCAAACATAGTTATTTGCAACTTCTTAATTTTAGGGAAACAAATTATTGTCAGAATAATATTGAAACTTGAAAATAATGTCTTACTGCCTCAACATTTTTGAAAAAAAGCCTCAAAAATATATGTTCAAAGCGTCAAAAATAAACTGCCCTTACATTTTACCAGTTATGCCCTTGGAAATATTAATTATATGAAAAATTGCATTGTAAGCGCTTTGAAGCCTCTTTTTCTTTAGATATAAATTTATAAAAAGTTTTAAAGAACAAAAAAATTTTATTTGTTATTGTACTAGGACAGATAAAATATGTGCAATGCGGGGGACATTGGAACTCTATTTTTTATCATTTTTATTTTGCTTTAATAGATAAAAGCTGAGAGTGTCTGCACATTTATTAACTAAAGAGTTTCTTTTTTGTTTCCAGGTGTAGCCAAGGCACAGGAACTGAAACTGATGCCAAATGAACCAGAAAACAAAACAGATGTCGTAGAGGCTTTACAGAAGCTGAAAGATAACGATTCTAGTCTTAAACACCTTAATCTTAATAATATTAAGGTAAGAGAGCAAATCTTTATGACATAATAATGTCAACATCAGTCTTCATGCTTGACAATTTTTATATCCCCAGGGGCTGGAGGAATTCTCTGAATTTTTTGGAATTCAAGATTGAGTTGTTAAATTTGTGGGAGCAAGTTAAGTTGCTGGGAATTCAGGAATTCAGCATCTAATTATATCGCGATGAGGGAACAGACACATTATTTTCATGGGAAATGGAGATTTGGCATTTATTTTCTTGGGACTTTGGGATGAGAACCCCTCCTACCCCCCATATCACTGTTTAGGAATTATGGCCTTGATTGATTGGAAAATTGAACTATATGTCGATTCGGTGAGATAACTTGATAATGCCTTATCTGATTCTTTTAAATTTCAATATGTTGTTTCTCATTACAAATGTGATGGCAGGATGTCCATATTTAATTTACTATTCAGGGTTATATCCCTTGTTTAATTTAACAATGACAGTATTAAATGTTTGAAAAACCCTGTTTGCTGTCATTTTGACATCCTTTTGGTATACCGTTAAATTCGTTAAATAAGCCGCAGGTTTTTTTCTCTGTCATTGTCCCTGCGTGTTATACTCAGGTGCGCTTTGTGTATGTATTTTTTTCAGTTTCAGGGCAAGCGTGAAAAAAAATATATATCTGGATTTTTTTTTATGGAGACCGTCAGATTGTCAAGTGCTTGCAGTGACTTGATAAATTGTTCATGTGGCATATTTTGTAATGAATAAAAATATATATACTTTATCATTTGTTCTTTATTTCATTGTTGGCTTACGAAGTTGATAACCATGTGTTTATTACATAAACAAAGAAAGATAACCGTGTTTGAAAGAGGTACCATACAGGATATTAGTTGTGTATTTACAATAAATATGTAATTGTATGTTGTTGTAATGTGTTTTTAAATAAAAATCTTCTTTAGAAATAATAAAGGAAGTGATTGTGTTTCTTTCCAATATTTGAAGTCTCTTTTAATGACGATGGTGATAACCATGTGCTGAAATGAACCCTTTAAAGTGTTCATAAACAAAGAAAGATAAGCTTGTTTGAAAAGAGGTACCATACAGGATATACTATTGAGGAGTAACTGCTTATTGTTTTATTGTTTCAAAATGAAATATCTTTATGAAATATTGTAGCCACATATTGGTGTAAGAAATAAAAAAAATGAATATTAATTTTCATAATTCAATATGCTAAGACATTTATATATCGCCGTCTTATTTGAATTCCCCTTTCCGTGGCCCATCTCACTTTCAGTTAAAAATAGACAATGACTTGCAGAAACTGAATGGTTTTGTTGTAGTTTTCAACCAAGTTTAAATTAAAAAATGTTTGTTACTTATAAAACTTAAACTTTTATTTTATAAACAACAATAAAATTCCTTAGATTTAATTTAATAATTTTTTTTCCTGACTTATGGGTGAACAGTTTTCACACGTGGGTACAGGTAATTAAGTAGGTCATAATCAAGGTAAACAATGGCAGTTTTATGGCTTGGGTAACTTTTCAAGATTAATTAAAATCCTTGATTCCAATTCAAACAATAAATGAGCAATCAACACCGAACTAATTTTAATCAAAACAACAAGGTTCAATGGACACCCAAGCTGTCAACACATGGCCATTGTTGACAAAAAACAACTAATGAATCTGGCATGATAAAAACAATAAGAAAATTATAATTATTTTATTAACATTTATTTATTCTAATATGAAACAAATAAATATATACAAAATGTCTTTCAACTTTCTCAACAATCTGAAAATAAAAATGAAACATGTTACGGAGTGAGTTACAAGAAGGAGTGAACATTCATTACGCTAAGGTCAGTAGAATGCATGTACGTTTTCTTCAGGGTGCGCTTTATATGCAGGTGCGTTTTATGTAAGGAAAAAAAACAATCCTCACCCCCAAAAACGGCCGTGCGCCTTATTTAGGGGTGCGCTTTTTAATCCGGAAAATACGGTATGTCAGTGACAGCAGCCTAATGATATACATTACTAAATGAACTCTAGAGGTCAACATACAGTCTTTAAGTGCCAATCTGCCTAGAATCAGGCAGTGGTGAAAACATGACAAACAAAAACCCACTTAACTTGACATTAATTTATGTTCAAAATATATAATGGTGCACGAATATAACATTCTTTTCCTTGTCCTGTTCTGGTATTTCAAGATATAATTTGGTTGAAATGCACTAGAAATTAACAATAAAGGGGAGCTAACTCCGTAATTTCCAATCATTCTAACCAAAATTTATCTAGACATTTCTCGAATTATTAGACACGCAGAAAAGAAAGACCTACCATTTCTAACTCAGGATGAGGGTAACTTCAAAATAGGATGGTTAGGTCGGTGGTTTTTTTCTGGCCATGTTCTGATTTTTTTCAAAATTGCTAATTGTTGTCAATAAATTAATCAGAGACTGGCAAAGATCTCAGCACAAAATTTTTCAATCTTATGTAGGTCAACCTGGTCTGTAAGTTAAGTTCAGAAATTAACTAGGCCACATGCTATTTTCAGGTCCAATATGAAAATGACCTAAACTCGCACCTTACCTTACTGAGTCATCAATATTAAATAATGATAATTAAAGGAGATCATGGTTAATGTCAATTAGGGATGAGTACTCTTGTTTTTGACTTTTTGTCAGATATTTGGAATCCTCTAGTTTTATCCATGTAATACCAATACAAATTTTGTCCACTAACCCCTACTTTTCTTTTCATAATTTTATAACATATAGTTTAAAAATCCATTTTTGAAAATCTTATATTATCCTTGTTATTTTTTCATTGTTTTTGAAAGAAAAAAAGTGCCAATGTTAAATATATGAACCAATTTGGAGAGAACAATTTCCTGCCACATTTTCAATTGATTACATCTCAAAAACAAGGACACAGACCTGTCATTTTAGGGTTGGTCAAAATGAAGGTGTTCACAGGATTGCTCAGATTTCTTTGAGTTTCAGAAATAGTGAATTAACAATGTATACAATATTTCAGAATATATCCCTAGAAAGATTATGTGAAGTATGTGATGCTCTGAAAACAAACACACAGTTAGAGACGTTAGAAATTGCTAGTACAGCAGCTACAGATAAAGTTGCTAAGGTAAATTTATTTTAATGGTACAACATTCGAAAAATTTATTGTCAGAAATCTGTATTATGAAAGGGCTATCCTATTAAAACATACATGGTATTCAAAATATTTACTTTGACCTTTTGACAACATATAAAAATTTCAAAAAACTTGAACCACACACTTTATCAGAAAAATTTCATTGGATATATAGCAGTTTAACAAACACTAATTTTGTGCATTGAGAAGCTGAATTTTTCCTTAACAATAGATCGTTATTAAAACGTTCAACTTATTTTTACAGAGTTATCTCCCTGTAGTGTTATGTACCACCTTAAGATGTATATGCAGTTGTAAGATAAAATAAAATACAAATACATATCCTATTTGTTTCCTTTCTTTTTCAGACTTTAGCTAAAGCCTTAGTAGACAACAAAACATTAAAGAATCTAAATATAGAATCTAATTTTATATCTGGTGAAGCTATACTGGAAATAATGAAGGCAATTAATAAAAATATGACAGTTATAGAATTCAGAATTACTAATCAGGTAAGTTAAAATTCAGAATTACTAATCAGGTAAGTTAAAATTGATTAGTTAGATCCAGGGTTATATACTTAATAAGACAGTTATATATATATAGAATTCAGAATTACTAATCAGGTAAGTTAAAATTGATTAGTTAGATCCAGGGTTATATACTTAATAAGACAGTTATAAAACTTAGAATTACTAAAAAAGAAAACTAATGGCCTGATTTATGTAAAAAATAATGAACGAAAAACAAATATTATATACAAAAACAAATGACAACCACTGAATTACAGTCTCCTGACTTGCGACATGCACATACAGAATGCGGGGAGTAACCCTAACTAAAAATATAAGGGCATACACAACAGGCACGGGGAGAAATTCTACTGCATCCGCACAGCACGAGTAACAAACCCTGCAGTAAAGCATGATTTTAAATCAGGACAAAACACTCTAAGTTAAAGAGTGATAATGGAACTGAGTAAAAAACAACAGATTATAGTATAAGAGTGAATTAGATCATCTAATATTTGAGCTAAACAGGAACTCAGCAACATTTTTTATTGTATTTTAATGAAAAGATGCATGAGGTTTTGTAAAATATATATATCTCTTTGAAACATTTATATTCAATAGCCTTGAACTGAACAACAGTTATTTAATGCTGAGCTTTATATAAGTCTGAAAGATGTATCTAGTAAATAAGTAGATGCATTATATTTTTAAATACCCGGTAGCTAGAAAGGCTGTCTTTTGTTTTTCAACCCTTAGATTCTACATCAAGCAAAATAGAAAATTCAACACATTAATGTTTCAAAATCTATCGCAATGCGAATGCACTATGGGCAGAAAAGAATGGCTTATACTGTAAATTCAGAAATTATTGCGTGCATTTATTATTGCGATTTTTGAAAAATGGAAGAAAATGGGAGAATAATTTCTGCGATTTCAAGAAAATCCACATACACATATATGTATCAAATTCAGAACATGAGTTTTTATTATTGCGATACTCATCTAGTCACAATATTCGCATTAATAAGAACCTTACAATAATTTCTGAATTGACAGTTTTCAGAATATTGAAAAGTATGTGACTCTATAGTTAGATCAAGTCTGGTTTCTTTGTTTTGATTTTACAATAAACTTTTTTTCAGAAACCAGAAGTCCTAGGAAATAAAGTAGAAATGCAGCTAACTAAATTAGTAGAAGAAAATCCTACAATATTACGGTTTGGTATTGCCTGTGAATTTCCTGATGCTAGGGTGAGAATTCATGAAAAAATACAAGTAAATAACGATGAATGTAAGTATGAACAATATCTTGATATTAGGTCCTGTCTTATACCCACACCCCTTTTTATGCAAAAATAGTTAATAGAACATTGCTTATAAGTTTAACAAGTCTGTCACCTTTTTGTTTCTAGTTAAAAGTTTTCTAAAAATTTTCACATGTTTTCATGCCTTCTGACAATTAAGATATTCACACAAATTGATTGAAGGCTGTTTTCAAAGGTAAAGAAATTCCTAGGCTGATTTTCTAGGAAAAACACTTTATTTCTAGTAAATGTTGAAGAAATTTATGATACTTTTAGAGCTATTTTCCTAATGCTTGTAAGTTAAAGGTTTAAATGGCTTGCTTGCTTTGTTTGTATAAATGTTTGCTCAAGCATTGGAATTAAGATTGACATCTGCAATCAATAGATAGGCGGGGCTTCAGCTTGTATATGTTGTGTACAAGATGCAAGTTTGTACAAATTATGATTTTTACAGGGTTTTTGTACAAGTTATAAGTTTTTTGACACGTACCTTTTTGCACCATATGATAAAAGTTTATCTTCTAAAATTTATCAGCTTAATGTCTTAAATTCAAATTTATATACTTCAACCTAACATTTAGTGCTATTCTTCTTGTCCTAAAACTGGAAATAAGGACACCTGAATGGTTTAAATTCTATTTTTATTTTTCTCCTTATACCAAAATCATATCCATAAAAAGTCTTTTTGTGTTCTTATAATGTTTTTTGTATCATTTCTCAGTATTAGACTGTATCATGTAGTCATGGATATATGACAGAAATATGTGAAACAAAAGACTGAGTGCTTGTATCATCCATTTGTGTTAAGCTGTTCATAAAACACTGATAACTTGTACAAAAATTCTGTACAAATCAAAGCTCACACTACTTCAGAATCATAGGGAGAAGTGACTTCTCTTTTTGAAACTGAGAGGGAGAAGTGAGATTTGAAAGAGAAGTGCTCGTTCGCTCACAGCACTACAATGTTTGGTTTTTACTATAATACAAAGAGCCATATGTATCTTATTTTTTTTATATTGTTCAATTTGTACCTGGGTATACAATTTAAGTAACAGTTCAAAATTCAAAGTTGTTTAATTAGTCCCCTACTGACGAAGTCGAAGGGGACTTTAGGTTTGCACTCTGTCCGTCTGTCCGTCCTTCTGTCCATCCGTCAGTCCAGCAAATCAGTTTTCCACACTTTTTTTCTTCGTTCTAAAAGATATTGATTTGATATCTTGTATATAGTTTTGCCATGACAAGTTATAGATCAAGTTCGAATTTTGTTACGGTCTGATGATTTAGTCCAGAGTTATGGACCATAACTCTGGACCATATCTAATGTTAAGAGTACTATGTTAAACCATATTTCTGTACAAAGGGAGATAATTCATTTTTTAAAAGACATTCTTTGGTAAATTATTTGAAGAATTTTTTGGTAGGTTTGTCTGTTATTTTGTATAAACTAGATTTCTGAATGCTTGTTTTATCATATCTAGTTGCACAATCATATTAGTCCTCTTGTCAGAAAAAAACAATTAAATATCTGGCAATAATAAAAAAGATTTTTTTTTATATCAAAAAGGAAAAGAAAGTTGTTATATCAATTAAAATTCAATAAAAAACTACTCTGTCATCATGTTTATGAAATTAAGTAGTTCTCAATAAAAAGATATTTAAATTTAACAGTTTTATTTAACACAGTTAAGCTTGGACATTATATAATTATATTAGTGTAATAGTCCCAGAGTTTAGCAACTTTAATTTATAAATTGAAACAATGCATATACATGGAAATATATACATTAATCAAGTAGATCGAACCAAAAGTATGTTAATGCGTGTGGAATGCTTAATTTTTCCTTTTGGGATCAATTTTCTTCTGTCAGCTGTGCCATTCATGCGTCTGTAGTCATTATCGCAAGAATCTGAATATCGGTCATAGCTGGTCCGTTTCCGATGAAATCGAGACTCCAATCTGTAGTTGAACAATAATTTGCCAAAAAGTTTAAATGGCGGACGAAGAAAAATTTACAAAAATAAACGATGTTTGACACGCTATTTGGAAGAAAATATGACGTTTTTATACGACCGCAAAAATTAAAAATTTTTTGGTCGTATATTGGTATGACGTTGGTTTTCGCACTCTAACTTTAGTTTAAGTGAATGGATCTCCATGAAATTTTACCATAAGGTTCAATACCACGAAAGGAAGGTTGGGATTGATTTTGGGGGTTATGGTACCAACAGTTAAGGAATTAGGGGCCAAAAAGGGGCCAAAAATAAGCATTTTTGTAACTTCCAGACAATAACTTGTGTGTAAGTGTATGGATCTCTCTGACATTGTACCACAAGGTTCCATATCACAAAGGGAAGGCTGTAACTGATTTTGGGGGTAATTGCCTCTAAATTTTAGGAATTAGGGGCCAAAAAAGGGGCAAAAAACAAGCATTTTTCTAGTTTCATGACAATAACTTGTGTGTAAGTGTTTGGATATTTCTGAAATTGTACTACAAGGTTCCATATCACAAAGGGAAAGCTGGAATTGAGTTTGGGGGTAATTGCCCGAAACGTTTAGGAATTGGGGGCCAAAAAGGGGCCAAAAATAAGCATTTTTCTAGTTTCCAGACAATAACTTGTGTTCAAGTGTATGGATCTCTCTGAAATTGTACTGCAAGGTACCATACCACAAAGGGAAGGCTTGGATTGAGTTTAGGGGTGATGAATCATAAGGGGGTTCAAAAAATTTGGGGGGGGGGGGGGATTTTTTTTTCTTGTTTTCCTTTTTTTATACGACTGCAAAAATTAAAAATTTTTTGGTTGTATATTGGTATGACGTTGGCGTCGTCGTCGTCGTCGTCGTCGTCGTCTGGCGTCATCCGGCGTCGTCCGAAGACACATTGGTTTTCGCACTCTAACTTAAGTTTAAGTGAATGGATCTCCATGAAATTTTAACATAAGGTTCAATACCACAAAAGGAAGGTTGGGATTGATTTTGGGGGTTATGGTACCGACAGTTAAGGAATTAGGGGCCAAAAAGGGGCCAAAAATAAGCATTTTTGTAACTTTCAGACAATAACTTGTGTGTAAGTGTATGGATCTCTCTGACATTGTACCACAAGGTTCCATATCACAAAGGGAAGGCTGTAATTGATTTTGGGGGTAATTGCCTCAAAATTTTAGGAATTAGGGGCCAAAAAAGGGGCAAAAAACAAGCATTTTTCTAGTTTCATGACAATAACTTGTGTGTAAGTGTTTGGATATTTCTGAAATTGTACTACAAGGTTCCATATCACAAAGGGAAAGCTGGAATTGAGTTCGGGGGTAATTGCCTGAAAGGTTTAGGAATTGGGGGCCAAAAAGGGGCAAAAAATAAGCATTTTTCTAGTTTCAAGACAATAACTTGTGTTCAAGTGTATGGATCTCTCTGAAATTGTATTGCAAGGTACCATACCACAAAGGGAAGGCTGGGATTGAGTTTGGGGGTGATGAATCATAAGGGGGTTCAAAAAATTTGGGGGGGGATTTTTTTCTTTTCTTTTTTTTTCTTTTTTTCCTTTTTTTTTTCTTTTAAAATTTTCCATTTTAAGTTGGTTATTTCTGATTTATATTTAAAAGCAAATAATAATGATATGGTAGGAGATACACACCAAACAGGATGTGTAAGTTTTTATATAATAAGTATTGTGCAATAGCAAGAAATTTTCAATTGCACAGTATTGCACAATAGCAAGAAATCTTCAATTGCACAGTATTGCGCAATAGCAAGAAATCTTCAATTGCACAGTATTGCGCAATAGCAAGAAATATCCAATAGCACAATATTGCACAATAGCAAGAAATTGTCAATTGTACAGTATTGCGCAATAGCAAGAAATATTCAATTGCACAGTATTGTGCAAAAGAAGATACTTCGTATAAATTGCTTATTTCTTGATCAATTTCAATGGGGTTTTATTCTTGAATTCTTGGGGTTCTTTAATATGCTGAATATAACCGTGTATTAAGTTTTTGGATTTTGGGCCCCGTTTTTGAATTGGTCCACATTGAGGTCCAAAGGGTCCAAAATTTAACTTTGTTTGATTTCATCAAAAATTGAATTATTGGGGTTCTTTGATATGCCGAATCTAACCGTGTATTTAGATTCTTAATTTTTGGTTCCGTTTTCAAATTGGTCTACATTAAGGTCCAAAGGGTCCAAAATTAAACTTTGTTTGATTTGAACAAAAATTGAATTTTTAGTGTTCTTTGATATGCTGAATCTAAACATGTATTTAGATTTTTGATTATGGGCCCAGTTTTCAAGTTGGTCCAAATCGGGGTCCAAAATTAAACTTTGTTTGATTTCAACAAAAATTGAATATATGGGGTTCTTTGATATGCTGAATCTAACCATGTATTTAGATTTTTGGGCCCCGTTATCAACTTTGTCCACATTGAGGTCAAAAGGGTCCAAAATTAAACTTTGTTTGATTGATCAAAAATTGAATTCTTGGGGTTCTTTGATATGCTGAATCTAACCATGTATTTAGATTTTGGATATTGGACCATAATAGGTGAATGTCCAATTTAAAATTTTTAAGTTCTTAGACCACATTCATTCTGTGTCAGAAACCTATGCTGTGTCAAATATTTAATCACAATCCAAATTCAGAGCTGTATCAAGCTTGAATGTTGTGTCCATACTTGCCCCAACTGTTCAGGGTTCGACCTCTGCGGTCGTATCAAGCTGCGCCCTGCGGAGCATTTTATCTACATATAGATTTGTAAAATATCAGCAGCATGACACAATGTGAAGCTTTTTATACGACCGCAAAAATAAAAAAAATTTTTGGTCGTATATTGGTATGACGTTGGCGTCGTCGTCGTCGTCGTCGTCTGGCGTCGTCCGAAGACACATTGGTTTTCGCACTCTAACTTTAGTTTAAGTGAATGGATCTCCATGAAATTTTACCATAAGGTTCAATACCACGAAAGGAAGGTTGGGATTGATTTTGGGGGTTATGGT